ATAGTGTGAGCTCAAATGTCAGCTATTATTACAAATATTAATATTAATATCTTAAAATCTTATGTGTAAGATTTATTCTTTTTACTTATATATGCAAACTGTACTTCAACAAAGTGCTGTTAGCATGGAGAAGTTGATTACAGCTGGAGCAGAGGGTGAGGTGGGGACGGGGGAGGCATGAAGCTGGGAAGTAAGCCATGTTAGACGCTCTCGCTGGGGAGAAAACAGGGTAAGCATCATCCAACTTGGCAGTCAGCAAGTGGTGAGGCCAGGATTGGAACACAGGTGTGTCAGACTCATGTTCTGCTCATGTTTGTGGGCGGGCTTCAGGGCATGTGTTGGGACCAGCGGTCTGTCCTGTAATCAAGTATGATCAAGGGTCAGGCCTCACTTAAGCTAACCAACGATGGTCCACCACAGACCATCAAACTCGAGCCATGCAGTTGAAATCCTGACTCGTGGGTTGTATTTGTTTGTTGGCAGGTATGGGCTTTAGCCTCTTGTAACTCCGTAACATGAAGAAGAGAAAATGGTAGTGCGGGAAGAAGGCAATGTGAAGATAAAAGGGAAGGAGGAGCCATGGGAGCCTTTGTGTTTGGAGCGCAGCCACTGGTGGTTCTGAAAGAGCAGATAGGGAGAAGGAGGGCCAAGCAAGCCCTGAGCCAGGGGAAGGGAGCTTGGAGCCCCTTGGACCTTTCCCAAGGAAAGGCATCTCCTAGATTGTCTTCCCAGGCCTCCCCCTGCCTCTCACTGCTGTGTCTTCCAGTGGGGCAGGTGTACGATTTTCTTTTTGTACTGTGTATGACTTAAAACTCTCTTTTCTCTTCCACATGCCTTTAAATCAGGTTGTTCTAGTATTTCTACAGTTTGGCAAGTGGCGGAGGGTGGCCTGTTACCTGTCAGAGCAGTCAGCAGAGGACAACCACATGTCGTCTCAGAGCCACGGCCGTGTTGGGGGGATGCGGGCTGCCCCCAGCAAGAACTCCGGAGGGCTGGCTCTCTGGCTTGGGAAGGAGCTCAGGCTGCTGGATTGAGAGCATGGCTTTGTGGCTAGAAGCCAATCCCTGAAGCCCTGTGGAAATGATTGCTCTCGTTAACCAGATGCAGGTACCCGCAGAGGGTATCACACATGCTGTGTATCCTGAGGTAGCCTCTCTTCTAGGTAGATGTGTGCTCAGAATGAAATAATTCAAGAAGAGCAATCCCTGGTGGGGACCGTATGGCTAAATGGCTCATAGATGACACCGATAGCAGGTTGCTCTTTTAATCTCATTATCATTCCCTGACCCTAAGAAAGTCTTAAGCGCCAGCCCTTCCATCCCTCCCTCCATGGATTCTTCTTGGTTTTAGTAGCTCTGCAAGTAACTACAACGTGGCCTTTCAGCATGGCTCTGAAGTAGCCCAGAAAAATTGGATCTGCTTCAAGTCCTTTATTAATCTATTCGCCTTTAGAACTTTAGGCCTAGTAAGCCTATTTATGTAAGAAAG